GACACAAGAGTGCTGCACAGGGAGAAACGGAGGCAGAGTGCCAGCTTCACCAGTGAGCGTACAGGATTTCAGAAAGAGTCTGGTGTGAGTGCTATAGGTGTGTCAGCCAAATTTCAAAATCCTTCCCAACTTACTTATGTTTCCTTTCTGCAAAATGCCTCTCTGGGGTATGTGGCCTAGCCACAGTTGTACTATGGCAGTCTGCTACACTGGGATTTGTAAGGCATACAGAAATGTCATTCCTTAATGGAAAGAAGCCTTGCTGGAGTCTATGAATATGGTCTGTGATTCACTATCTAATGAAATGTATTACATGTTTGAAGAGCATTACCAGCGGAATATTGTAAAACAGGTGCAAGCAACATTGGGAAAATGTAGCATCTGACATTTTTCTGATACTTTTAAAATGCTCCTGCTGGCTGGTATTACTTTTTTTCACAACTCCTGTTTTATTTATTATAGACAATACGAGTTACACCAAGCCTTTTGTGGTGAACGGAACAAAGAAAACAAAAAGCTCTTTCATAAAGTTGAAAAGACCAGTTTCTGCAAAATCGGACATTTAAGTATGTACTTCATTATTTTGTTCCTTTCATCTTTCTTTCTGTGCAAATTTAAGGCAATCTTCAAGAATTTTGTGCTTTGTCAATCACGTCTGAGCTCACTAGAGGAACAGGTGAATTCCTCCTTTTTTTTCTCCATTGCCTATGTGTCTGAATAACTACACATGCTCTCGACTGAATGATAAAAAGTATCCGTGATTTCCATTTCAGCAGACTGTATCTCCAACAGACATTTCATAATGCCATTCAAAATATGCCTTTCCTGCCTATAGCTCAGCAAGCAAGAGGCAACATTCAACATCTAATTGCTTTACTACAATTAGAGCAGTATCGACAATAGGAAGGATATGATATATTCACTAGACAAAATTCTAAAATAGAGTCTAAGAGTTCCCATTGTTAAATCTTCATAGAACCAAATGAAAATTCCTTACAACTACAGACAGCTAAAACATACAGTCTGACATTTCCCTCATCTTTGTTGGAAGAAGGATAATAATTATTTAACCATACCACACACGCTGAAGCATATTGAATATGAGGCTGTTACAACAGTAGCAGGTATCCACCACCTGGATAGCTGTGCAATAAGTATCTGAGAGCACAATGAAATTGAACTTTGTGAGGCTCTTATGATAAATTAAGACCTGTTTTTTTGGTCAATATGTCAACAACTAAATAAGAAACAGCTGAAAAGGGGGTTGGATTCTGATCCCGTAACAATTAACAAGGCGGATTTAAAGACTGAAAAAGGTGTGGTGGCCATGAAGTAGATTTTGTAACGAAAGCGTTCTTTCTGGACCCTATGCGGACGACACAATCCGCTGAAAAGTGAAGAAAACATGGGGGGAAATCATGCAGGATACGGGGATGAAAACAGGGGGCGTGGCCTTGGTGCGCTGGTGTTCGGGGGAGGTGTGGCCAAGGCAAACAATCCAGGAAGAAGTCCAAAGGAGAAGCCAAACGGAGGTGAAAGTCCAAAGCCGGATGGCCCATCCTAGACAGACGATTAAAAACAGAAAACGGGTCGGAACCAGCAGGGGAAACGGGAACAGAAAATAAAACCGAAACGAGACCAGGCGCTTCCAGGTCCCGGACTCGTCTGGTACAGAAACCAGAGCAGATCCCGGATTAACGTCGTTTCTGGTTTTAAAGGGGGGCTGGAAGGAGGCTGGAACAGGGGGCAGGTGCACAAAATCAGGTCAGAAGTGAAAGAGCCAGAGCGCCCTTTAGGGGGAGGGACTACAATCGTGACAGATTTATAATTAATCCAAGGTCTTGATAACATAATAACTAATGAGATCACAAAGCTTTCTGCTCTTTTTCTTTTCCTAAGTTATTCCACTATATATTATAAACTTTAAGTCTTGTGTTCTGTCAAGATTGTTATGATTGTGACCTCAATAAAGGTAGTCATAGTAACTAGGCACATCTACTTTTTGAATTGAATAGCAATCTAGAGTATTAAGAATGCACAGGAAAGAAATGGAAGTGATTTTCATAGAGTAATGCACACTATTGAGCACTATAACACAGGCAGCTCTGATGCCAAGAACATGGCAAGTGTTTTGAAAGTTTCAGCAAAATCAAAATAAAGCCTTAACAGATACACAACCTCAACAATGTAATTTGAAAAGGTAAATCATTACCATTTAAGAGTGTATAGTTGACCGTGACGTACATGAACAGGTAATGTCTGGTTTCTCCAGGTGATTAAATTAATACATTCAGTGGCAAATTTGTGTAAATCATGCCCAAGAACACAATACACAAGAAGGTACAATACACAATCACAAAAATCATCCTTTTGTCTTGTAGTAAAACTATTAATGGTGTCTGCTTTTGAATTGGATTACAGGCTAACAAACTAAAGAAATATGTTGCAAAGGAAAGAAAAGCAGCTAATCTTCATATCAGAACAGTTTCACAACTGCATGGGCATGCATAATATCTCTACATGCTGACATTTCCTCCCATTCTTTAGTTACATATTTCATGACAAGACTGCAAATGGAAATGGAGTTAACTTGCAACTTGAACTTTGCTCTATTCTTCCAACACTCCACAGTTCTACATATCCCACCACACTTCCAACTTATTTGAGAGAGATACCTTGTCTCCGCTCTTCAAACCCTCTGCTGACTGATGGTTTCACACAGGTTTCAACTTCAATAGCCTATCGATTTTTCTAGGTGAAGTTTACAGTTTTTGCTTATATATATATTTATTATTTCACTGTTAAAGTTTTATAAGATATTGAATTCCTTTAAACATCCGGACAGAACACATGCCCTACTGCTTTCTAATTCTCAGTCCTGGTTTGTTTTCTCATCTCACAGGAACTGAAAGAAAGAAAAGGGAATTGAGTGTGAGCTACTTTATTACTGCTCTATGAGAACAATGAATGCTTGGACATCATTCTCGCCCAAGGAATCTTTTCTGTTGCTGTCCTTGCAGAGAAGCATTGACTCAGATTTCATGAGCAGTGGCCAGGCTATCATCTAATAGTATTGACCCTGTGATGGGAAATATATACTGTAGCCGCACAGTTTCTGAGAAAATTTGATAGATTGATAAGTGGAAGGTCAGAAAGAAAAGGAAAAAAGACAAAGGTTTGCACCCTCACTAATCCCACACTCAAGGGAAGATATTATTGATGATGATAATAACAAAAGCAACAACAATAATAAAAATAATAACAACAATAATAATAACAATAAAAATACTTTGCATAATAGAAGTACAGAAGCACAGTGAACCAAATTCATACTTAATATACTGCAATCTCTTATGGGTCTGGGCAGTGAGCTCTGTCTCCTGTGAACTGAATCCTGGTCTTTGGCAGAGTGGGGAGGATCTATCTCCCGTTGTGTGAGGAGAGAGGAGGTCTGAGCCAGTGGATGTCAGATTAACTGTTTAACTGTTTGTGGAAGACATCGCCATAGTCATTACGCTGTTCAGTGCCTTATACAGTATGTTCGCACAAGAACTTTAATTTCCACTCTATATTTCTTAGGAAGCAAGTGATATTTGCACAGGGAGTTCATTTTATTCTTGAATCTTATTTTATAATTTAACAATACTATGGTAGATAATGTATTGTAGTAGTCTCAACAATATTAAAAACAGGCAAGTATCAATTTCCTCAGCCGCAGACACACAGAGCACGAACCTTCACTAATACAGTACAAAGGGATGATTAATGATGCACCTCATTGATAATTACTGTACTCTCATTTCTATTGCTTCTTTTGGCCGAGAAGGTCCCAAAGTCCTTCCTGGATAGCAGGGGCCCACACCAGGCACCTCTGAGATGCAGTCCCATCTGGTACAACAGCAGCGACACTCCAAGAGCTGCTCTGAGCTGCTCTTCCTCGGTCACCCTGAGCTGACCAGGGGGAGAGGTGAGACCCCAGGACAAGTGGAATTTAGCCAGGGGACCAGAATTTTCATTCCCACTCTACCAAACAGGGGAAAAAGGAGAACATGTTAAAAGCCCAAACGTCACCAAGCTGTGCCTGCCTGCATGCAGACAGCAGTGCTGGACAGAGTGTTCCCTCATTAAAAGCACTTATTAGTGAAAGAAGGGTGAAATTCTAACCTACAGCCCCTTGTAGGACTATGGAAAGGATTCAACTGAAGCTTTGTACAAATTAAGCAACAAGTTAGCTTTTTTTCCCACAGAGACTGAATAATTTCAGCATCAGGAATCAAATCCCATTACTGGGGGGGGTGATGGCTGTGGGTCCAGAGAATCTACCTTGGCACAGGTCCTTTGTGCTCACTTTTGAGGCAACTATTGCTAGTTTATTAATGGGCTTTAAGAAATGTAGTGGCTGGGATGAGGGTGGCAGGTTAAAAGCCGCCTGAATAAGAACTGCTGATGAACTGTGACAGACCTTCGAGAATGAAGCAGAGCCTCCCGATGGTCCGGCAGTGAAGGCAATCAACAGTCCAGTAAGAGAAAAGAAAGAAGAATGCACTATTGCCCTCAAAAAAGAGAGAGGAACATAGAAAAGTATAAACAGATTTGGAACAGATAACTGAATACAGGAGAGTCAATATTGCACCAAATCCCACTGTAGCACAGTAAAAGTAAAGAGTGCCCTGGAGCAAGGAGAGGTCTGCTAGCTAGGAAATGACATTTGATGAAAGGCAGAGGTGGAATGGGCACTTAAAGTATCTTGTATTGCCAGAATATTTCTCCACATGGAATAAATAAAAAACTAGATTAAATAAGGGCCTTGAAATATCGTATGACAACTTTCAGAGTTATAAATTAAATCTAGAAAATGCTTTATCATGTATGCAAAGGATCTGAGCTCTCCTTCATGCCATCTGACCATGCACACAAGACAGAGTTCCCCCTGAATAATAGGAAAATGATACGGCATTACATGAACACTTGTATATATTCATGCTTATTTAAAACATTACCTGTTGTGGGGAGGCTGGAGATTCTGGGGTACTCTGCGTTGGAGAGATGTCACAGGACTGGCTAAAATCCATTCTAGATTTCTGCATTCCACACCGAATGAAGGAAGGAAAAAAGGCATTCTGAAATTCATAGCCCAGATGAGCTGGAAGCACCTCGGCTTAATGAATAAGATAGGACCAAATTTGGACCCCTGATGGTAAATTGAAGAGTTATTAACTTTGCTCAAAGACATTGAAGAAAATGTTAATTTGACTGCAGGGCGCTAGGCCCTTTACATTTAGACATTTTAAACCAATTATAGCTAATTTTCGTTTTCCTTTATCATTAAATACTTCATGTGGAAACCTATTTAATTTGACCTTCGTATTCCTTAAGGGATTCAACCTCTGAGTGCACTTCATATTTTTTAATTAATAATTCATCGTTAACTGACAAGGATCTTCCAGTAAACATGTGTTTGAAAATGACACTCCTTTTATTTAGCCAGACTTCTTTACATTCATTAAAACTCTGTATTTTATTATTTTTTCAGCGGTTGTCTAACCAGTCACAGAAAGAAGCAACTTGTTAATATTGAGAGGAGTTTTCCTCAGCAAGTTTTTAGTTGGTGGCAAACTGAACAAAGAGACCCAGAGTTCATGACTTCTGACAAAAAGAAATATTTAAAAATGAAATGTGCAAGTGCCATTGTGTATAGTAAGATTTTTTCTTACTTCAGCCTCATATTTAACTTTCTAAAGCATTTTTAAGGCAGTCAGAATTAGCAAAGCTATTGAAGATCACACCTAAAATGTTGTGACAAGTTCTGTGAGATTCAAAGATTGCAGAGACGTCACCTTTATTTCATCCTTTTAGACAAAATTCACTGCGTACTGTTTCTTCTTTTGCTATTTATTATGTTGCTGTCAAGTGCAGTCTCCTCACGACCTTTTCTTATTCCTGTAGAATTTGGAATGCCCATGGCTTTGTACACCATGAGCCCTATTTAATCAAAGCACCAGCCCTGGGAGGATAAGGCCAGTGTACACTTGTGTCTGAAACATTTTACACTGTGTGGGCTCCTCGGTGTCGTACAGGAGAGTCAGCAGTGACTGGAGGAGCTACTTGCATCTCACAGAGAACGTTGCCAGATCAAGACTGTTCAGGAGATCCCTGAGGTCACTGGACCAGAAGCTGAGGATACCCTTGCCTGCTGAAACTTGCTGAGCCCTGATGGTACTTGTCTAGTTGTGTGCTGCCATGTGGACAATCTGGTTCAATTCACATGTAGATTTGGACTGATATTCAGACATTTGGCCATGCACAAATGTGGATGAGAAATAATTGCATCTCAATAAACATTTTATTTCAAAACAATAAATTCATACTACCTTAAAACTAATTACCTTAAAAGGTAATTAGTCTAGCCTGGAGATATAATGATATAATGTCCTTTCTCACATGATCCCACTGATAAAATGCCATTGCATACTGCAGCTGTGGATGCCTGAAAACAATCTCTACAGGAAACACTCCTATCAATGAGTTTGCACAGTTACAGACTATACAATAAAAGAATGAAAACAAATTCTAATCTTTTTTTAATTACATGGAGTGTTTTTTTAATTACAAAATAGTCTAATTAGTGGGTTTTTGATGCAAATAAGCCGAATGGTGGTAATTATTTAGAGTGGTTAAATGGTTAGTTTTGACTTTAGTTTCAAGTCCACTCTAGATTTTTCTTTTGTTTAAATAAATAGACAATCTCTCCTTTCAGTAAATCACTGTTTCTGAAGGAGGCATACAGTAGCTGTTAAAGAGAAGATTATTTAGTTCAAACAACAGCAGTGAATACAAACTAATTCTCTGTTCTTCCTTCAAATATTTTCTTACTTTATCACTTTTGCCTGACACACACACACACATTGGAGCAGTAGAAAGAAAAAAAACAATGGCATTCTGTATTGGTATTTTTACTGTGCACAATTATGAGGAGTGTGAATTCCAGCTGAAATCATCTTTGCTGAAGTTTATAAGGAAACAAAAAAAAAAGAAATATACTTTAATGTGTATCTCCTTTGGTTTTTTCTTACCTTACCAGAAAACTGCTTTTTATCTAGAAGACACCTCTTAATTTAACTTATTTAAATTAAACAGGCAACAGGCTACAGGCAGCTTGAGATCTTAACATTTAACATCAATCGAGTCGCAGCTAAGCACAAGGTAAGAGTGACTTTCTCCTTCCCCTGGGCTCAGTATTAATGAGGCTGTATCATACTGCACTCATGGACACAGACCTTCAGATATTTCCCTGCACAGCACCTATACAGTATATCATTTCCTAATAAGAAATCTTAATTTTTATCTATAACATTTCAAAAGCCTCCCTTACTCACATTGCTTTTAGAACAAACATACTGTACATGGGACCATTATTTCCCACTTGACTGGTGCAATTTATAACTGTTTGTTTGCGTGTATCATAATTCAGCAAGCATTCTCTCCTACACTCTGTTCTGTTTTTACAAATTCGAATACGAATTATAATCATTGCTAATTTATTGCAGGGATACACTGACAATGGCAAAGTGTACCTGACCATATTCAGGTCAATGTTCCTTTTAAGGAGGGCTTGCCTATTGTGGCCTTAGCTAAACTACACAGCTTAAATCTTTGAATGACAATACTTGTTGGTAGAGCTGGGAGTGAGAGCATTAATGCACTAGCAATCAATTTCAAGAGGCCTACCTTATAATGACAAAAGGTTGCAAGTGAATTGAGTCTGAGTTCTAAATTGCAGACAATCCAAATAACACTGTCGAATGGACGGACAAGCACCAAGTTTTAAAATTGATTCTGAATTTGAAATCGGGGTCTCACAAGATTATGTGTCACAGGGCATTTACGTACAAATCCACAGATGCACATAGTCACAGATGGACAAAACGGAAAGAAGAGCAACTTTAAGAAACAAAACATAAGCCCAAACAACAATGTCTAATCATATTTGAACATTCTTTTCTTTCATAAGGATTGTGTCTTGACTGATGTATTCCTGTACTGTTCATTAACTAGCTAGGAGTGAGACTACATTCCCACAGCTCTGTGTCAGAGTTCAGTCAATGAAAGCCAGTGAAAATGAATATGAAGCGAAGGAACAGTCATTGTGCTGCTGACCAGAGCACGGACTACCTCACACTAGAGTTGCGGATCTTGATATAAAGGCATGTAACCATCGTGCCTATCAGTATCAGATAAACAGAACAAGGATCTGAACAAGCAACAAATGAAAGGGAACCTAATGACACTTCTAACATGATCTTCAAATAACAACACAGGGTCAAAAGTTCTACAGCGGGTTCAGACTGCAGTCAAGGGTTTGATGTCAGCACCATCAACAACAGTCCTGACATTGTCAGCAATGTGAAGCTGTTATCTGCAGCCTATGAGCATAATCTCAGCCTTGCCACAGGTTAGCTTAAAGAAGCTAAGCTCCCATGTCTTAATATCAGACAGGCGCACTTAAACTATAGAAACCACAGCGGCAACGTTGAACTGGCTAAGTCAGTGTCATCTACTGTACACTAACTTCTGCGTTTTGCTTCACTTTAAGGTCTCTTACAAAACAATACATTTATTGACATCACTTAGACGTTATAAGAACTTAAAGGCTGTAAACTAAAGGAGGTAATTCTGCCCAGAACACCTGTTTTGTCCCAGGATGTTGTAAAAGAAACCAATGTATCAACTTCAACAATGTGGCTAGGTATCTTCGTACAGATCACCACAGCTCCTCGTGCCTGCAGTTCCCACTATCAAATGCACTTCCCACAGTTTCTTTCTGTCCTCCGGTTCATTTTTTCAATGGGTCGAATTTCTCAGTGTCTTTGAGTTTTGTGAATACATGAATCATATCTTTTCATAGTCTTCTCTGTTCAAGACGAAATGAAGAAATTCAATTACTTTAGCCTCTCAATTTAAGACATTTCTTTAAAATCAAGAATGTAAGCAGTTTCAATTCTCTGGACTGATTCCAGAGCAGCACTTTAAAGGGTATATCTATATTTAACATGGCGACCAAAAATGTGCACAATATTCTAAATTTGTTCTTGCTGGTGAAAACTCCTTTGGATTAACTTCATTGTCAACACTCTTAGTACTTTCACATAAAAATATTAAGGTCTTAGATAATTATTTAGATCAGATAATGTTCCAGGTGATGTGGTCCACATCTCCAAAAGTAAAATAAAAATCATTAATGAAACAGAAATCAAAACACAGATAAAAATAGAATGAACCTGTGGCCCTGAACTGTCTGTAAAATGTAGTCTAGGGGTTCCAGTTCTTTGTCTGTGGCAGGGAATGCAATGCATGTTGAGTCTGGCCTTCCAAGTTGGATTTCTCTAAAGAAATGACTCATGGAAACAATCCTATTCTTAGGAAAGAAGGTGGATTCCAGTTCAATGTTTCCTGTTCTCTCTTTTATCTGTTTTTGCACTGGATGATGAGGAAAATATTCAAATCAAGGCCTCTATATGCCTTCACTCATTAATTGTCACTTATAAAAAGACCGCAGAGAAGGGCTACCTGCCTTGCATCAAAGCTGACATTTTATTCAAGAGCCTGGAAACAAGGGCTGAATAAGGCAGCTCTCAGCGCAAGGACTGCATTCATCTCCTTCAGAGCAGGGTGCCATTGTCAGGCAGCTGTGTGCTGAATAGGGAATCAGCTCCCAGACAGCCACTATTGGCACCATTCGAATTGAGGTGGATTACATTCACACTCTGTGGCAATACACACAACCGAGGAAGTGGGAGAACAGACAGAGCACTATGCTGTCTGTGCCCCTGCAAAAATAAAGTATATGCTTTCTGAGAATACAGCTGACTGGGGAACTGGATAAGACCATTTTAAAGACTGCAGAAGCAACAGTGATACTGTGCTTTAGGAACCACACCTAGGACAGCTGAACTACCCAATGGATCAGGGTGTGCACAGAAAATATCACAGAATACCCACCTCACATTGGGGAGACTATAGAATCACTAGCACTTGGCTGGCACTCAGGAAGCTTAGGGGCAAGTAGTAGGATGCATGGATTGATGCAGTGTGAACCTGACTTGAATTAATAAGTCATGTTCATGCTGATTGCCAAGGTTATAGCAGAGTATCCACCAGAGGGCTTTAACAGGAAGTGTTTCATTCAGGTCAGGGCCCTGCTGAGCAGTACTGACTACCCTCTCATTACACAGGGTGTGGTTCCTATTAAGAACATTGCCTATATTGGAGGTCAGAAATGCATGGGTGATGGCCAGAGACCATCAGAGTGTGGCAGGCCAGATATGGAATGAAGTAGTAAATATGGTTTTCTAGGTGCTGAGTGGTCCAATTTTGTTTTGTTTATATAAAATGTCAACAAAAGGAACCATGTAAATATAAAGAAGACACTGCCAATAAATATGCTACTCCACCTGCTCTGATGGACCTGCAGAAAGTTACACACATTTTCCGGTTTTTGCCTGGTCATTGTGAAAAGTAATATTCCAGTCCATTACTACACATTAAAACAATAATATTCAACCCATTCATGATTTTTGAGAGAGATCTTCACTCCAGCCCTGCTGTAGATGGTCTTGTGGAAAATGAGCTATTTTCTAATTCTTCTTACATCTAAAGAGGATCTCTAACCCTTTGCCTCTGAGCTCATTGCTAAACATAGCCTTGGAATTGCAACTACTGCAGAAGCCCTTTGAGTTATCCATCCAAGCACGCCTGTTTATCTAGTAGTACCTCTGCAGTCATAGAACCACCATGAAATGATTCTAATCAATATCTTCCTCTGCGCCATGAAACATGCTCATTTTTTCGTGAGAGAGAATTAAAGTCCAAATATTCTTGGAAAATGATTTCTGCATATCACCTTATAATGGAGCTAAACTTACACTGATATCACTACTCTAAATATATGCTTCTTGTAGCAAATAAAATATTTTTGACAGCACTATGCAGCTGAATTCATATTCAGTTTCCATTACCTGAAAAGGCTCAGATTCTCAGGTGAAGACACAATTAAATCAAAGTAATTTGGAAAGCTTCTCCCCAGGCACTGCTTTTTTTTTTGGTCCAGCAATAAGAATCAATGTTTTGGAGAGGCAATGTGTAGCATTTGAGTTGAAATTGATAAAGAGAAAAAAATTGAGAGAGGGAGTGAGTCAGAGCTGGAGAGAGAGAAGGAGCCAGTGAGAGAGACTAAAAGTCTCACACATTGAAGTAGACGGATGATTCTCTGGAGCGAGGAATACGGTGCAGCAGCAGCTTGGAGAAGAAAGAATGTTAACTGAACTTCAGGTGATGAAATCTCTTTTCAGTAATGAGCCTGCTCTGGTGACTGCGGTTGGAGTTTGGGTTGTTTGACAAGTACGTTAGTCAGTGCTCACTAGTCTCACAGTAAGACTGCGACAAGCTCTCCCTCTACCTGTCTGTTTCCATTAATTCTTTTTAATAAAAAGACACAGTGGCTATATTGCTGAAAAACACGGCAAGACGCGAGGGAAAGGTATTTTTAGTGCATCTAAACATTACATCACACATTTACTTTGCACTATAATCAGTTCTGTAGAGCAGTAATTTTGCTTAATGGCAGATAATGGAAAGCTGTTTGACTATACGACTCTTAATATTTCAAACACCCATTCTCATATTTCTCATAAACAAATGAACCTTATAGGTGAACACATTTACCTTGCTGCTTGGCAAGCTAAATATGAGTGCATTTAATAAGTGTCAACATTTTAGTTTGCAAAAACAAACATGCATTTTTCTGCACTGGTCAATTAATATACAATAGAATAAATGAAAACAATGTGCAAATGTGAGTGTATTTGCTATGGTAATTACATATGACATCACATATAAATCCCTGTGGACTTTTACTTACACTTTCATGGTTTTCTATTAGTGTTTTTATATTTATTGGTGCTAGTACTTGCACTCTTCACCAGGCACATCATTGACTCTTGAAACATCATAAGTTAGAATTGTAGGACACTGCATGCAAATCAAAAGAAAGTTTGCCTTTCTGAATGAACAAGTTAATCTTGCACTTATAGTATCCATTGTTCATGACACAGACATGAACGCCTAGACAAACCCATATAAGAGGCATTGGAATCGACAGAATCCAGTTTTAAAACAGAATTCTAGACACACACTTGAGCTCTGTCACATGTCACTGACGCAGTCTCAGTCCTCCTTAACAATGACCTAAGAGCACAGTCAGTCTTTCTCGTTTAAGGATACATTTCTAACCAAAGGATGAAATTAAATCAGCTAATTACCCTGCTTTTTTAATGTTATCCTTTATAGGCAGAAGGCTTTTATCTGCATATGTTTTCACATAAGAGGGAATGTGGGCAATGCACTCTGGTGGTAGATAAATATGGTAAAAAGGCTGCATGAATTACAAAGCACTTTTCAGCTGACTGCAGCACTAGACATAAAGACACTCCCATTAGCAGGGGTTACATTACAATTAAACTGGTATGGTTCCCATTGTGCAAACTGTATGCAATGTGATGTAATTACATAGTAACTACTGGCACCTGGAAATTGCTTAGTGACGAGATTTTTTTTCTTACTTTTAAATTCGAGGCACATTTTAGTTGCCATGAAACAAATCAGATATAACGTACCAGAAGTGAGGGCTGTACTGTAAACCTCAAAAGGCTACATTGTAATCAGGGTGAAGCCAATGTGACAAGAAAATGTGTGAAGCTGGGTTTAAAGAGGGAACATTTTCAATAGTGCTTGTGTGGTGCCTGTCACTGATGACATCTTTAACATTCCTGTTGACAGCTTTGGCTATTGTAAAAGGGCAACAAGCATGCATAAACAATATTTAAATGGCAAATTTAGCTCACAAAAACAAATGTACCTCAGGCAAGCAGAAAATAATTTCCTTAGATTTAATCTAAAAAGATGCATGACTGTGAACAGGCACATATCACTTTTCTTCATGTGAGATGGGTGATTTTTGTTGTAGATGATTATTAGGTTTCTTTTCAGCTGAGAACAGGTTAATTTACCGAGAGTCACAGATCTCACTGCTTTCCATCATGAAGCATTTGCGTCATGCTAATCACATAATAAACTTTGATATTTGGTTTAATTTATTCCATTTGCAGGTGACCTTTGGAGTTAAGAGTTATTATTATTTTTTATTGCTTTTCTGTTAATGACATCAATGTCAAACTCCTCTCTATTAGCAGTGCTAATGAACCAATGAGGAATTGTTCAGTCTTGACAAAATCACTGTTCTCAATTTAACTCAATTCTTTTGCTGCCCTTTTTGTTTGGGTAGTCCAGGAGAGAACTTATAGGTCGAAGTTATGGGTTGTACACTTTTGTTATTTTAAGGCTATGCAAAACAGTCCTCCACCATACTGTACATATAAGGAACTGCTTTCAAGAGGGTAAGAAAGGAACTGGGGGGGTATTATAATATAATAGCTTTGCGAATGTATAGCAGTGGCCAGAAGAGAGACTTTTTTCAGAGCCAATTACAGCAGAAACGTTTCCTTTTTGACATCGGCTTTTTCGAATCCACCCCAGGTCTGAAGAAAACAGGCTGATCGTGGCTCAATGGAGTTTTTATTCATGTTCATGCATTGAAAACTATTTTGGCTCATTTCTGAAAATAGTTTGTAATTAATAGCTTTTAAAAACATTTACAAATCAAAATCCAGACCCACGGAGAAACCTCTCTCACTGACTTGGTGACCAGAGTCAAGCAGTTTTTCTTCAAATAATTGGAACCAGATGCCCAGATACCCAGTTCCAGGATATTCCCGTTCAACTGTCTGAGAAGATGACATCTCAGGAGCCCAATGGGCTGTCTTTCAGTATGGTAGCACTGACATGTATTGCTGTAGCTGTCAGGCCTGTGGTATGCTAAATGCTTCCCGTACTTTAAAGTTGTACAAGTCATGCAGAAACTGTTGATCAATATTAATGCCACTAATACTGAAAATTACAAGCAAGTAAACTCATATATAACACATCTTTGCAGCTTCCTTACCTTCAGAAATCTGCGGCTTTGGCATAGAAGAATAAAGCTTGACCCAGCCTTTACTCCTCTATCTCTGGAACTCGTGACTTGCTCTTCAATTGTGAGATGTATCCCTCTGTAAACACAGGGAGCATGGTTAAGGGATATTTCACAGCCTTGAAGAAACAGGAAAACGCATAACATTGAGTATTTGGGAGCATTATTTATTTATTTCAGCTTGTTTACACAGGATACTCCCTTGGAGGAACTGGTCATCCTCAAGGGGCAGCCCCTGCTCTGGATCCAGGACGCTAGTGTTACCGATTCGACACCGAGCACAACGCCACGAGGCACGATGCCCAGAGAGAACAAAAACTCGGCACAGCAGTCAAGCACCAGCTTTCCTAGTTTTACGAAGCCTTAGAGAATTCCCACCATCTGAAACAGAGTTGCTTTTTTTTCCTTTTCATGCTCTTCTTTTTAAGTCCATTACATAAAAATGCAGGACTGATTTTAGAGAGCTGACAAACATATCGAGAGGTTCAAAGATAATAAGAACCTAAATTCTCTGAATTGTTGGGTTGTATAACAAACCCCCTGGAGTAAAGTGTTCACAGCTGTGGGGGTGGGATTCAGTATTTGAGCAGGTGTTAGAAAATGCAGGCAGCCCAGCCCAGAACAGAGCCACAAACAACAAAGCCCCTCAGTGCTTGAAAATGTAGAGCCCTATTAATCAGCAGATCATCTGAAAACATTGTAATGTTAAAACCTAATATACATATTGGCAAGACATTAAACATGCATTATCAGCTAACATTATTTTAATTGACAAGCCATTAAAATTTGGACACAGCAAAAACATCTCTGTCTGTTGTCCTAAGAGATGAGCAACTACAGCCTACAAGTGCTGTCCTGCGAGTTTCAGAGGTATTTGTGAACTACTGGTGGGTACTTAAAAAAAGAAAGTTTCAACTGTCTTCCATTTAATTATTTCAAATACGTAATTAAGATTGGAGATGGAGTGAAACCCAGTTAAGGGTGGAGCTCATGAACCGGAGTTGTCCTTTCCTTACAATAAACTGCTGCCAGCCTGGATGTGTACAAACACTTTGTTCCCATTTGGAAGACATATTTGCTGTGCACACTAACAATAATAATTCAGAACATTTCGATTGACTTGAATACAGCAGGATGTACCATGTCATACAAACAAGAACCTGTCCGTCGGAATGCATGTGTGCTATTTTGATTCCACATGAATTGAATGTAGAGCTCTATTAGCTGTATCAGAGGTCCAGCACCTGCTGGGCATTACAGCAGCTGCCCATGAAGAATATTAATTGCCAATGCCCACTTTTCGACTGTTTCGATGACAGGTTCTCAGAATAACATGCTTTATTTACAGCAATATTGATTGTTTCACTCTTCAGTGATTTGGAATTGGCTCTTGCTGGCCAAATGTTAGATCACCCCTCAAAATGTGACTTTAACACAGACATTTGGTCATTTCTGTTTTTATTTTTTCCCTCTGTATTCCAGCTCCACTCACCATTTATTGAGTGTCGATCTAATAATATCTACCTGGGGTAGGAGGAACAGCTAAAGACAAAGTGATTTTATCAAAGCCACAGGTATAGTCTTTTATGGTAGCAATCAGATCAAAGTGACTGTCCAGTTTAGATGAAACATGTGGTGAGTTTTTCTGGAAGGATGCAGAGCCATTTGATTGAATTGTAGCCACATTGGAGAATATCTGAGCGCAATGCCTTCAAGGTCAGCCTTTATTTTAGTTTAGTGCTATACATTTTTATTGAGAAATGGTTTTCCTATTTTTACTCTTTTTGTGAATATTATTATTCACCTTATGTGATTTTGTCAACAGAAATGTATTTGTGTGACACCCTTCTGCATTCAATGGTTGGCTGGGGTTAATTGAAAAATGGACTGAAATGCTAAAGTTTCTTTTCTCTACTTTTTTCTTATGAAGAGCTTTCCATGGTTAGTGAGGCATAAAACTGTAAAACGTTAATTTGTGAAAAGTTGAAACAAAAACACAATTTCCTGTAAGAATTTATGCATCAAACATAAATTCTTTAAGATGTATTTCTATTAACTGTGTCATGGCTCTCCCTCCAGAACCCTGCCTATACACACAGCTGTTCCAAAGAAGCATATTATTTTATTTCATTTCTAATTAGAAAACCTTCACAATGGAATTGACTATCTTTTAGTATTGCAGTATCATTTTGTACTAAGGAGCTGATTCCAAAAGCTTTGTTAATGTTTTAGACATATTACTAACATTAATGTCCATACACATTTATTTAATCAATAAAGAAGTTCATAAAACATTACAGAGCTTCATGTGAGTTGTTATAATGAAACCTTATTATCATCATCATTAGTAGCAGAATGGATGGAACTGGCTATACTATCAGCTATGTGTCTAACTGTAGAAATTACAAGTCCAAATCAATTTGCACTAATTGTTACTCAAAAAAAGAAAATCACCATTTGAGAAATGAGTGACCACATTTTGACCTTCAAAAGAAGCCACATTCATTTGTTTTCATTAATGGTTCCAGTCCCTGATGACTACATTCCCAACTCTTTCAGCAAAAGCCAGACACAGGGACAGTGTTTTCCTTTGCTCAGGGTGGAATGATCATCATTCTCATTAAAGTTTGCGTGTCTTGTCTAAAAGAGAAAGAAAAAGGTTCTGTAGGTGGCAAACTAAAGCTTTTCAAATACAACTCATTAGTGTCAAAAATTTCCTTTACTTTACAGACAGGTTATAGTTTGCACAGCGGTGGAATTCTTTGTATCCTCACTTCCTCAGAAGAACAATCATGTCTGTTAGTGTAAATATACAAACTGCTGCATGTGTAGAATGGTGTTTCCCTCAACCAACATTATGAGCCATCCATGCCCAGACCATCTTCTGCTATTACAATCATACTCAAGCTACTGCTGTAGTTTTCACTGTGGCCTATAGTTTATTTTGTCTTTGTAGTTACTCCAATTAGAAAATCCATTAAAAATAAGTCTTTGTAAGCAAGGCTGATGAACACTTTGCAAAACTGTTGCTGACCTTCATCTGTAATTGCTGCATTTTGTATTTCACATTCATCTCTCAACTCCCAGCATATCTATTTTTAATTGATCAAAACCATCTCAGGAGGTTTATCAATTAATCATTTGATCATGCAAACATCTTGACAGCAACCCAACAGAGATCTAAATATGACTTCAAAGATGTGTTTATTTTTATGCTGCAAGCTTCTGTTTAATCCTTTAGATCATAATGCTTTATTTAAGGGATACTTAAAGTTCTAAACATTTCCAAGAGCAACGCAAGGAACTCCAGAACTCCTTGCTGCCAGCCTCAGCTAGGGGTAGACAACACTGAACAGGGGATGGATAAGGCGCTCCAGGCTGCAGCTTGTTGAAGAGCATGAGGCTCTTTGGCAGACAACAACTAGTAAAAGATGTGTGATTGGTGGTGGTGGAGGGGTGTCCTTGAATTTCTAGAAAAACAGAATACAATCCCTGGCTTTATTTAATCAAACAGCAACTGCTTAACAAATATTTTCAAGTGTCACATGTTGCAACGGGAAACAACAGAAAATTATAAAGTGTAAACAGAAGTCTTTCATCACAGTCATCTCTTTAAGGAAGTGAAGGTAAAGTGAGAATTAATTTAATTCAACTGAGAGTAAAAGGACAGTCCAAATGACAATTTCCTTATACCCAGCAATCTGTGAACAAGGCCTGGACACAGAGACTGTCTGAATCTGCATTCAGATGTCATTCGGAGAAGTTAAGAAAGTGTTCAAAGGCAGCTACAGGCACCAGGACTCCTAAAATCCTTATACTATAGCTCAACTTCAAAGTCTGAAAGGACAGCAGTGAAAACACGTGTCTGCAGAAGACAATGTCACGTCTCCATCAAATCCCTGCCTCCATCTTCAGGAATGGAAAAAGACACAGACTATCAGAAATAGCTTGCAGGCTCAATTTTAAGAATATTGTTAGGTCTGTTTTTTTTTTGGGAAAAAAACTCAGTTTATCTTTCTAAAATATATTTTCATAACCCGCTCTTTGAAGCATCAACTTAAAACATATCTTGGTATTTTAATAAATAAAAACTGTTGACTAGCGTTGATTCGAATCTTGACTCATTTATAAACAAACGTACAAAATATAACTATATTTGATCTTTTCTTCCTTTTTAGGAGCTTAAGAAGCTTATGCCCCGTTGGTGCTTAGCAATAAAGAAAGACTGAGGTCACCCGGGGTCACCTTGTCCCTCAAGAAAGCGTCTCCATCATATTGAAACAGGAGGCAGGAGGTCCGGCGACCCCCGTGGAGAATTAAAAAGAGAAAACACAGCATTCGCTTGGCTTTGTTCGCAGGCATCCCCCTCAGCCCCCTTTTCATTGTATGTGGGGTTTTTCGGGGTTACGAGGTAAGGTGGGGGGAGCAGATGGGGGAGGGGGTGGGGTGCAATTCCGAGAGAGTGGCGTCACCGTCTGCTCAGCTCTGTCAGGAGAATCAGGGAGTGACCTCCTTCGCTATCCTGCAGGGGGGCCGGAGGGAGAGAGGGAAAGCAACTGTTGCTACGCGATCACAATGTGTGATATGAAAGCTACTAATCTTTACGCCCCAGCGCACACCACGGACAGCCTGAACGGGCCCCGGTGCGTACTTAATACGCTAATCACACTTTCTCCCTCAGATCAGCTCAGGCCAGCCTCGCCGCGACTGGCACTCCTCTGGAGAGCCGAGCAGGGGGAAGGCTTTGTTCCTTTCCTGATTGGAAACGCTCTCCCCCGGGGGCCGGCCCGTATCTGAGGCCTTCCCTCGCAGGGCTGCTCCAGTGTGAGTGCGGCCCTGGAGTTGTTCACTCTTTCAAACTCTAGGGAATTGTTGTTGCAACAGATGCTAACCAGAAACACCCCCTCTTTTCCATTGCAGTGCTGACTGATATTATCATTTTTAACAACACTGTATGTAACATAAAGAAAACATTAAAATTTCAATGTATACATTTTCCAACTTTTAACATCATTTCACTTGTGTTACAAGTTTTAATCATTTTGGTGCGTCTTTTCTTAGCTATTATTCAGTAGTTCATTCAGATCCTATTAAGTACAATGTAGAGGTGAAATGTATAATCTCATGACACGATAATGCTTTATTGTCTGATTTCTCAGAACTTTATTTGCATCTGTGCAGCTGTTTTGCACACAAAGAGAC